GTATCAGCTCTGATAGGTCTCTGTGACAACAATTTCTGAACGATTCTCGAAGTACGAGATGCGTCGGAACTGGCTGCATGGCAGGACACAGCAATACACATAACTTTGATGATACAGGTACACGAAATGGAGAAGTTCATCATAACTCTGACGCACGATGGTTCCTCGTCACATTCAGCCACACTTGGGTCATGTTTTGCATCCATGGCAACAAAGGTGTACATGACGAAAGAAATAAAGGCGTAGGATATAATAAATAGAATCGGCAGTCCGTAATCAGAATTTATCATCTGAATTGTATCGCATAATATTCCGTGTGTCTGACGCAGAGCTCGAATGTGATATCTGTCATGATGAAACAGATGATTTCTGATTTTGCTTAAGGATAGAAACAAAGGATCTGGCTCTTTCAGATCCTGAGATCCATTAGAAAGATACACTGCATCTTCAGGGTGCATCTTATTAGGATGATCCAAAAACGAGGCAAATGCTTCCAAACTTTCTTCGTCATAATCACGAACAACCATTGATGTAAGTTGTGCGTTTAATTTACCAAATCTATTCTTCAAAATCATAATACAAACAGAATACTGTACTATCACTAGTGCACCAATGGCTCCTCCAAAAACAAAGCCGAATACTCGAATTATGGATATGAAATCAATTCTTCGACCATTAATATCACAAAGAGCAATCAAACTTCCAGAAACAAACACTGCAAATAATCCTGCGATAATTTTTAGTTTTGTATTCTTGTAATGTAATGTTTCCGTACTTCCCATTAAAATTTTGTCCACCAATTCCATTTTCGAACAGAAAACTGTAAGACTCCCACGGTGACAAAGAATCAAAGCTAACAAACTTGAACCTTTGAAAGTACAAGTACGAATTACACTGGGGATAACGTTTCTGCTGGACAGATTAGGATATCTGTAAGTCGCATCCCAAACAACATCGAAAACAAAACAACTTATAATGTAAAGAATAACAATGTAATTAAGCAGAACGGAAAATCCGAGAGGACGCTTTGTGGTGAAGTCCGGAATGGCAGTTCCCGTCCTTCCTCGCGGATATGGTGCGAGTCCCAGCATCTTCGACGCCAAATACAGAGGGCTGAGTGCACTGTAAATGCAGGACATGAATGAAACGAACTCCGTTCCGCCAAAGAAGCTTTGATGCTAGAAGTAAAAATGAAAGGCAACGCTTTAGACGTAAGTACGTCAGTATAAAAATAAATACACATATAATTCTATTTTATTTGACCTTGATATTTAATAATTCTTTTCGTACCGAGGTCCTCTGATCGACTTAAATCTGGAGCGATATTGATGAAAAGACTCAAGGCTGCTTTGTAAAACAATCATCCAAAACTGCGCCGTCAAATGTTATACAATATAAAGATACTGACCTTCCTTCTAAACAGGACATAAAGTATGTCGTGGACCTAGCATATAATAACAAAAAAAATAATTTTATTTTACCCTTCACAACGCAAACGTGGTCAAACAATATTAAAGTCCGTTGTAGTATCATAAAACACTATCAATTTCTTGACTATCTGACCGAACAATGCCTTCTCAAGGAAGATTCTGAAACGCATAATTAATGCTTATGAATTGTGCGAAAATAGCAACGACGTTATTGCCTACACAGAAAATAATTAAGAAGCCTTTAGTAAAAAGACGCACTTTTTCTGCGTAACCTGACTTCAGTCTACAGCTACATTAGAATTTTTAGAGTTAAGTAGTTACTTTCACTGAAATAATATATACGAAACCTGAATTATATGTCAGAACATCAAAGGAATGGCAGCATGCTAGTGGATTAGTATTTCTCATCTAAAGGTTAAAGCAACAATTTTAATGCTATGTATAATTTACGATATCACAATCTTAGCACTTTTTTACAAGTTTCCTTCGCAGGTGCCTGAGACGGTCAAGGCTTTAGACCCGTATTAAAATATTTACCCCGTCACTCCACTGCAGGTACAATTACCTGGCAATTAATTTGGCTATGTAATATAGTCTGATACAAATAACATGTAACACACTTCTTTGGATGGCTTATTAATTTCGGAAATTGTATACTACATCGATGTTCCATTACTACGGAATTAATTGTTTACAGTTAAGTAGGCAGATATTCAGTCCGAAACCTCTTTGAACCGAAATTAACTCCAGTTTTGTACAGACTAAGTCTATCAACATCGCATCAACTAGTTTAGTTATGTTACTGTAATTAAGTCAGCTACAATAATAACTTTCTTAAATAGGGTATCACAGCTCTGATTAAAACATAAACAAACGTAACAATACATATATAAGTAAAATATTAGTGACTGGTTTAAAACAGTTTTAATTGTTAACAGGCAACTATTACAATTTAAGAAAAAAATAATTTAGACGATAAAATTTCCTATTACGTGCCAAATCTGAACACTTTATAATACCATATTTTATACGAAAGAAAAGATACGTAAATGAAGTTCTACTTTACGACATTAGATAGTTTTATTAATTAAAACCTTATAAACTGTTCTCAGAAACAAAAATAATAAAACTTAACATCACAACAAAGCTAACCTTCAAATATAGTAAAGTGGTATGTAAGCAAAATGATCTGGAAGATTTAAATCAACACAAATTAGGTTTCTACGATTTCTACTGTGTATTACAACGCCACAAAATGCAGTTACAAAATTAATGTTACGACTCAAAAGCAATTGGCTAGGGTACACAGAAACATGAAAGAAACCAGAGTACAAAACCAGGTACTGGAATACAAATAATTAGGGCCTACAGATCATATAAGCCCCATGGAAGGCACAGAGATCATCTACACCTGGAGGCTTTAGGAATAGGCAGTTAATGTAAGTCTAATCCTGCACAGTTCACTATCATAATGGCGATGAAGATACGCGATATTTCTGCACAATATACACTATAAACTACGCTTATAATTGAATACAAAGGTAATTAGATGAAACAATTTGCACACTCACCAACACAATATTCCAAGTTGTTTACCAACTACCTGGAACCTCTTGGCATAACTGAGGCAGACTACCAACAACCTAAAACTTCTTCAGCTTTTAATATGACGCTCGATTTAACATAACTGCAGAAGAAAATTTCTACAGTACATCATTAAGGCGTGTTAATTGCACGTCTTTTCATAGGTTGTCAGGATGATCATGCGACATTTTAAAGAATAACAGTGGGCACTAGGCTTGTCTGATGCAAACCGTACTCACGAGGAAGAGTAATTACATACTTGTTTTCATCCAGTCATTGTGGTAGAAAGTGTCAATAATGTAGAAAAGATATACTAGATTAAGAAAATAACACGTTTGAAGCTACAAGTCGCGTGTTTGTTTTCAGAACACTTCGCTCTTGATGATGACTGGATTGTATACCTCCTATTTGGGAAGAACTTCTTCTGTTACTTAACGGTATGTTAAACTCGTTTAAGTTTAATTAATACGAATTTACAAATGCCCACAAATATTAATGTATTGTAACAAATTCATATATCTCTTAACAATTTATGCGTATATTTGCGTAACGATAGTGTTTAATGGAAGTAATACATCATACAAGCACGTTCCTTTGTTCAATTTTTGTGATTATTCTTATTATCGTCAATTACTAAAATTTTTGTCGTTCTACTTCAGAAGCGAGATCAGACTCTGTTTCCGAATCTCCATATTTTTACTGTCACGCCAACACACGTTAGCATGTTCTAACGCAATCCACAGATATTTTGAAATCTCGAAACATGAAACCGACTGCCAACCAAACATTTTGGCCGTCAGATTTATATTGGCTCAGGACATTCAGAAAATATTAGGCGTCGGTCCAGTCTGAAGAACCCAAATAAAATTCATGCGCCACAGTACGGGGTAGTAGCACGCGGTAGCGGGTAAATCTCATTTAATGAAACTGCAACCAGATCTCCAAAAGTCAGCTTCCAACAGTTGAAATATTTTACCAAACAGTAGCGACCTGGTGACCATAATATTCGAGCCCTGGATATTTCGGTCTTAAGTAATAGCTCCATCTTAAAGAGATAACGCAGAAATACGAGGGTGTTTCAAAAAGTAACAGCAAATTAAATATTTTGAGATATATAATTAATTAGACGTACAAATGATAAGTCATTTTTCTACATAATCACCCTCCTTCTCAATACACTTCTCACACCGTTGCACCAACTTCTTTATTCCATCAGAAAAAAATGTTTTTGGTTGTGCCTTCAGCCAGGAATGCATTGCTTCTTTGACCTCGTCATCATTCCCAAATCAACGCGTCCTACAGGGGTCCAAACACATGATAATCAGAGGGAGCAAGGTCAGGGCTGTAAGATCTGAAATCTCAATCTCCGAATGGTGAGAGGGCGTGCGTTATCACAGATTGATGTTCGCCCATTTTTAAACGCATCTACCTACTCGTACACTCTTCTCTCGCCAACGCAGCATTCTTCTATGAATTTCACGAGGTTTCACACCTTCCGACCACAAAAATCTGATGACTGCTCGCTGCTCCTCTGCGGTGCAAACAGCTAAGGGCGCCGCCATTTCGTATATGCATCCCTTCCAATTAAGTACGCCACGCCATTTATTGGGCAGTGTCAAAACCTTCTCTAAGAACGTATCTTCCCTGTGCGGGAGTTTGAAATGCCTGGGGTATTCGTTTCGTGAAATATTGTCAATTTGCTGTTACTTTTTGAAACGCCCTCGTATATTACCAGCCTGTTCAGAGAGATTCCTAACAATCAAAACTCGTGTCAGGAAATATTATTCATGGCCAAAAATACAGACAAACTTCGAAGCATAGTGCACGATTTATTGCTATTTATGAGCATTATTATAACTAGCATAAACTACATGTAACTGATATTAAGACATCACAACATAACAACTGCAGAGGTTAACTCTAGTATTTTAAAAATTATTTGATTGGGTTACATGTTTGAACACCATAGTGATAAAACAACAAACATATTTTAAGTTATTAGAATAGTAATTTCATTACAGAAAGTAGAATCAGAATCATTAAAACTACATACAAGGAATGTAAATAGTGACGTAAGAGATACTGGTCGTGTGAAGTACAACAAAGCCACACATTTAAGACACACGTTGCATATTTGTTGGGATTACATTTAATGCTCAGCAAATGTACAACCCTGATAATTCACCACCACAAAGAGTTAGCTCAAAGAGCTGTATTTTTCTGCACTCCAATTTATTTCAGTTGAAGCAGGACAACAATATACGTGGTAGCAGTTCCAGCCATGCTGCACAGCAAATTTAAGTTGAGTTCAAAGAAACCAAAAGCTGTAAATCTAGAATCGGTATTCCACAGCTGCTGGGAGAATAACTGCAGTTCAGAAAGCGTATCACCACTGATATACCTTGGTGATACCAACTTCTGAACAATTATTGACGTATCAGATATCTCAGAAGTGACCGCATGGCATGATGCAGCAATAGTCACAACCTTGAGTATGCATAAGCACGAAATGCATAAATCCGTTATAACTCGGACACATGAAGATCCGATCTCACAGTCAGCCACGGTGGGGTCATTCTTTGCATCCATGGCCACGAAGCTGAACATAACGAAAGATACAAAGGCATATGATAGCTCAGACAGAATCTGAAATCCGTAGTCGGAGTTTACTATCTTTACCGTATCACATAATATACCATGGCTCAGACGCAGAGCGCGAATGTGATTGTTATTGTATTGTAATACTTGGTTTCTGATATTGCTGACTGACAAAAACAAGGGATCATTTTTATGAAGATTCTTTGACCCGTGTACAACGTTCACCTCACCTGCAAATCCTATCTTATTCGGCTGATCCAAAATCGGCAATAAAGTTTCCAAAGTTTCCTTTTCAAACCCACGAACAACCATTGCTGAAAGTTGTCTGTTCAATTTTCGAAACCTATTCTTCAATATCAAAACATAAATCACAAATTGTATAATCGTAATTGTACCAATGACTCCTCCAACAATCCAGCCAGACAATTTCACCGTGGATATAAAACTGACGTTTCGCCCATTCATATCAAAGAGAATCATGAAGCAAGACATTACAACCATCAGCAGTATTTCAATGACCACTATCAGTTTTGTCTTCATGTAAGATAATGATGCCTTTTTCCCAAGTAGAATTTGGTCAACCAAAGCTATTTTCGTGCAAAACTCTTCGTGAGTTCCACGGTGACAAAGAATCAAAGATGACAGGCACATGCTTGCAAAGGAACACGTGCGAATTACGATAGGAATAATGCTTCTATTGGATAGCTTTGGGTATCTGTAAATCCCCTCCCAGGTCACGTTAAAAATGAACCAAGCCAACAAATAAAGAAAGGCAATGTAGTTATGCAGAGTGCAAAACCCGAAGCGACTCTTTGTGGTGACATCCGGAATGGCAGTTCCAGTTTTGCCCGCTGGATACGGTGCGAGGCCCACTAACTTGGTCGCCAAGTACAGTGGCTTCAGTGCACTGTAAATGTTGCTTCCTGACATCGTCTGGCAGTTGCGTGTACCGAGCGAGTTTACTGCTAAAAGTAAAAGTAACAGGAGCAATGTGTTACTATCAGGTATAACTGAACTCAGTAATCTTAAAACCTTGCATACCATGTAGTGTATTGGAATATAAAATATGTATACAAAAAAGAAAACTGTTTACACTATGAAGGTCCTTGCTGCCGCCATCATCAGCGCGATCGCCCTGATGATGGATGCAGGACCTCTGAAACGTCGGTAAACTTCTGCCAGATTACACGGCGCAGCAAACCAGAAGACAGACATCTTCATGTTTTGTTTTAATTTCTACTAGTTATGAGGAAAGGTACTGAGAATTATACGGTCTGGACATTCAATTTAAATCTTTAGAGGTATAAAATTTTGTGTTTCGTGAACATCCAACGGTGACCCGTCTTAAACACTTATTATTTTCAATTAAATTGGATACATTTATTATAATGTTCTTATGAATTTAACTAAATTTTTATGGGTTGTTTGATTCGAAGCTGCACTCAACATTACAAATACAACAAATAAAATGAATTAATAACTACTTATAATACATTACCTAATAACATCGCTATTACCAAACCCAGCCACCGGATACAATCCATAATCATTACAACCCATCTTCCTTAAGATCCATCTTAATGGTATTCTCCCGTCTCCTCCTCATCTTTCCATATAAAC